ACAGTATGTAACTGGTGGTGTAGATAATATAGAATCATAATAATCATAGTTTAACAGAAATATGACTGTAAAACACTATACACAGATGGAGCAAACAGGAAACAGCTAGAGAATGATGTATCTCAAGCCAAGCATACTAATAATTACATTTAACATACATACTCTAGGGTTAAGATAAGCCCAATCTGCTTTGTCACTCTCCAAACCAAAAGAAATGATAAACCTTTGAAAATAAGTATGAGACAGCTGAGGAGTCTAGAATTTAAATGTGATATTCATACACACACACACATATACTGCTAAATTAGCTGAGAAATTCTTGAAGAAATGACATCCCAGTAACACTAAGCACACCTAACATATCATTCTTCATTAAAAGAAAAATAGGATTTTTTTGGCAAATGTCTTATTCTAGAAATGATCAAGAAACACAAGACAGCTTACTCCAGAGATTATGTTTTCAAAAACAAACAAGGGACATGCAAGCATTTGTTACATTTAAAAGCTGCCTCTGTACTCATGGGAGTGGCCAAACAATGTTTGGTTTAACTTGAGGCCTACACCACAAGAGGGAGGGCCATGCCCTACACTGCCTTGATGGCTAGGAACCAGATATTGTATACGCCAGAGTCCTAGGGTGCAACCAAACACAGCTGATCTAAGAAAGAAGGAAAGAAAGAAAGAAAGAAAGAAAGAAAGAAAGAAAGAAAGAAAGGAAGGAAGGAAGGAAGGAAGGAAGGAAGGAAGGAAGGAAGGAAGGAAGGAAGGAAGGAAGGGAGGGAGGGAGGAAGGAAGGAAGAAAGAGAAAGAAAAAAAGAAAAGAAAAGAAATTAAATTATCCCTAATGATATTTTACTTTACTCATAGATTGGTGCCTTGTCCAGTTATCACAAGAGAGGCTTCCTCCAACAGCAGGTAGGAATGGGTGTAGAGTCCCACACAGAGACAGTATGTCAAGACAGAGTCTAAATTGGTGGTCTCTACTGGGTCTCTCCCTTAGAGACTGAGAACCCCATGGAAGAGGAAGAATGGTAGTAAAAGTCAGAGGGGATGGAGGATACCAGGAGAACATGGCTAACGGAATCAACTAACCAGGGCTCATAGAAACTGAAGCAGAAAGCATGGAGTTTTCAAGATCTGCACCAGGTCCTATACATATATGCCATGGATGTCAGCTTAGTGTTCTTGTGGAACTCCAAACAGTAGGAGTGGGCATATCCCTGACTCTTTTAACTGCTGTTGGGACTCTTTTCCTCTTACTGGGTTACCTTGCCCAGCTTCCATATACAGGTTTTTCCCTTGTCCTCTTATATCTTCTTTTGTTCTGTTTGGCTATTGTCTCTTGGAAGCCTGCTGTTTTCTGAAGAGAAATGGGAGGAGAAGTGGATTATAGAAAGATTATAGATTATAGAAAGATTATAGAAAGATTATAGAAAGATTATAGAAAGATTATAGAAAGGGTTAGGATGAGTAGGGAGAGAGGGAAAGCTGTGTCTAGGATGTATTGTATGAGAAAAGAATCCATTTTCAATTAAATATAATAATATAGAAGCTGCCTCTGTGAAACCTAGTGAAAGGTTAGGATAAAAGCAATATATTCTATTTCTATAAAAAGAGGCTGAATATATAAAAAATAAAGAGCTATAGAGAAAATTTAGTAGTTAAAAGCACTTGTTCTTGACACGGATTCACTTCCCAGCACCCACATGATGGCAGAATCCAATGCCTTCTTCTCCTGCCAAGATACCAAGCATGGGACTGGTATAAATATATACATACAGGTAAAATACTAATACACATAGATTAAATATAAAATCTTATGTGGGGTGCATTGGTGGTTCAGTAGTGGAAATCTTCCTTCACACACAAGAGAGTTGGGTTCAATTCCTGGCCAATGCAGTATCTATATCATCAAAAAAATAATCAAGTAGAAATGCTGGAAAAGATGTGGGGGGAAGAGAACCCTCATTCATTGTTGATGGGATGGCAAATTATGCCAACCACTTTGGAAACCAATGTGGAGAATGCTCAAAAAGCTAAAAATAAATACATCATAGAATGCAGCTATAATACTCCTCAGTATGTGCCCAAGGGACTCAATGTACTACTTTACAGATACTCACTTAGCCATGTTCATTGTTACTCTATTCACAATAACTAGGAGATGGAAACAATCTAAATGCCCTTCAATTGATGGATAGATACTGGGAAGTGTGGTATATATACCCTATAGAATACTATTCAGCTTTAAAGAAAAATAAAATCATGAAGTTGGCTGATAAATGAAAGAACTAGAAAGACATATTGAGTAAGGTCTCCCAGGGCCATAAAGACAAATGTCTCATGTTCATTCCTATCTGAGGTTCTGAGCCTCAAGTCTTCAGATGTGACTATATCTGATTGGATAACTTCAGAAACCAGGGGTATGAAAGTGAAATGTGACAGAGGGGATTAATAAAGAAGGGAATAGCAGGATAGAAGTAATTTGGAAGGTGAAATGGAAAGGAAGGCTTTAATTAGAAAAAAAAAGATAAATACAAAAGAAGTGCAAAGGGTAAAATAACAGTAAGAATATTTGAAAAAGTTGTAAATCATAATAACTATCTGCTTAAAATACCCATAACACAAGTAATTCTTTATATTCATATACATATATAGTTTAAATGAAAATTTCCCATTTTTGATGATAATGATCTCCCTAACATCCACAGACCAACAAAAAGATAAACAAACAAACAACAGGCATTTGGGAAGTTCCATTTTGAGCTGTTGGTCAGGGTTATCAAGGAGACTCTCCCCCAAAATAAGACTCCTGCTGCTGCCTCCCAGAAATACAAGGTAGGTTCATATTATTAAAAAAAAATACCATAAACTGGGACACATGACCAAGGGGACCTGAGTTAGATTTGACCTAAAAGTTTTTTTCCCTTAAGTAACAGGGTACCCAGAAGGCACCAAGTTTCAAAGGAAGGGAAACATCCCACATCCTATCCAACTATGATGCAATTGCAAATAGTAAGGGGCTAGTGTCATTTAAAATAAAATTTTTGAGGTAGCACCTATACCTCCAGGTCTCAGGATACAGAAGCAAAATGATGGTACAGACAAGCTAGAAATATATAGGAATACCCTGTCTCAAAAGACCAAAACCACATCAAATCAAACAAGAATAATATGCTAAGCAACCCTTCAATTAAAAGAAACATTTCAGGGAAAGGTAAAAACCCATGTCATATTGAATAGGACCCACAAGTTTGTATGTAGTATGTTTTCCCAAGCCCTTTACTATTTTGACACAACCTTCCTATTATCTGGAACATTTGGGAGAGGAGCCTAAAGAGCCAGTGATGAGTGCCTTCCTAGTGTACACCAGGCCTTCGGTCCAAGCCCTAGGAATGCATTAGCCAGCAAGGTGACACACGCCTGAAATTCCAGTGCTTGGGAGTTAGAGGCAGGAAGATCAGAAACTCAAAGTCATTCTCAGCTACATATGAATTTTGAGGACAGCATGTTCTATTTAAGACCCTATTTGTAAGTTGAAAATAATAGAATGCCAGCTGGGAGCCAAGAACAATGTGGACTCACGATGAACTCCTGTCCAGCCTTGTCACTTACCAGCCATGTGATCTCATGGTCTTCAGGGTAATTCCCAAGCTCTCTGAACCTTAGATTGGCTCTCTGCCGACTTGGCTTCAACAACCATGTCATGTAGGGTTGTTGGAATATATAGGCTATGAATGATCAGGCACAGTGTCTGCATATAATTGAATATATAATGAATGTTCCTTGAGTATGAATATTAATTTGACCACATACCTATTCATTCAGGGGGAAAATGTGCTCAACAGAGGAATCAGTAGCAAATCAGCTTAAAAGGCAGTTTTCCAAATAAGTAATGATATTGTCTCTCTAAAAAGTAAACTATTTTGGATGTGACTTGTTCTTCCCAAGCTAAAGAAACTTGAAGAGCCTAGGGTTAATTTTTTAAAAACTTTCCCTTTCCTTCCCTCCCAGCTCCTTGTCCTCTAGATATAAATTCTAAACTAATTTTACTGCCACCATATCCAAGATCCTGGTTAGATTTGACTAAACAACAATCCCTTGGCTCTGGCTCTCTAAAGCAAAAAAGAATGGCAGCTTGGTGGGTTCTAGGTAGCACCCACAGGTTTTTACTCTTTCTAGGTCATCTTTATGTATATCTGTTTGCCCATGTAGGTCAGAGAGTATAGCTGGATATTCCAGTGTAAGCCTGTAATCTCAGCACTTTGGATGTTCAAGGCTGGTCTACGTGAGATCCTGTCCCAAAAATCCAAAACAAAGATTATTTAGTTCAGATAATAAGTTCAAATGAGCCAGAGCAAAAATGTAGGAGGCCTTCCATAAAATCATCAACCAATGATCCTTCTCTGGTTCAGCCAGAATCCCAAGGGAACAACTTCTTTTTGATCCTGGGATTTCCTCTCTCCTCAAAGACTCACTTAGAGCCAGGTCTCCAGCACTGGCTCAGGGTGCTTGCATTTGAGTGATGACAAATAGGGTCTCACCTCCCCCCCTTAATCCATGTTTATTATGTCTTCTCCAGGTTCCTAATAAGATAGCTGTACCTATACTCTATCCATCTCTAGGAAGGAGATGTAATCATTTATCTTCATATTGCTCCCAATAACCAAACACATTCCAAACAAAAATATCCAACTTGGGGCTAGAAATGACTCAGGTGTTAAGAGTTATTTGCTTCTGTTACAAAGGGACTGCCTGGGTTCAGTTCTCAGTACCTATATGGTGGCTTACAGCCATCTAAAACTCCAGTTCCTGTGGATGTGTTGTTTTCTTCAGACTTCTGTGGGCACCAAGCACATATTTTGTAAACATACATACATTCAGGCAAAGCACTCACACACATAGAAAATAAAATAAATACAACTTGAAAAATATATACAACTAATGCTTGGCAAGTAAATGAATTGGCAAACAGAGATAGTAAGATTTATTATGATCTTTCATGTTTTATTAAACAGGACAAATATAGGTATACATTTCAGAGTTGACTGAAAGTATTAAAGAAACCAAAGATTAACCATTGAATAGTTCCCCTATATTGTCTCAAAACCTGATGAATCAGAAAAAGAATTATGAATACTCATAAACTGACATTGCAAATGTAATATAGCACACTTACAACTACAAAGACCAGCTTTAGAGAAATGGAAAAAGGGAAAAACAAGATGAAACAACTATCACTGTCTAGAACCAGAACACAAAGTTGCCTTACACTGTGTTCTACCCATAGCCAGACTAACCTTGATCTTCCCTTACTTAAAATGGTAACTGTTCTCTTTAAAACCAGAAATTTGGCTGCCCCATGCTGTTATTAACATGGTACTAAAACATGAGGCCCTTTCTGGCTCAGGCCCTCTCTCCTTCATCTCTGAATGCCTCACTATATAAGCATGAGAAATGAGTTGGGTCCCTACTTGTCATTTTGGCCATAAACTCGAGGACTTTCATTTTGGTGGTTTCAGAGTAGGCTCTTGGACCCCACAAAAACTCATAGCGTGGAGGATAACTCTTGGGCACCTGCTGATATTTCAGATAATTTTGGTAAACCAAATCTCTGGTGAGGAACTCTCTTGGCTCCCCATAAATGAAGTGTTCCTCTCCATCATATATTCCCATCATATTCAGGAATTTCCACATACTTTCTTCAGAAGCACAGCTCCCCTCTATGAATATCACACCCAGAATAACTATCAAGAAGCCATTTCTAGGCATTCTCTGGTTATCAGTTACCATTTCATCATATGTAAGGTTCAGTGAATTGGTAAGGACATAAGAACTGCTTACGGGATCACATTCCTTTATATCAATACCAAAAATCATCTCTAAGCATTTAGAAGCTTCCTCAAAAATAATGGGGAATTGTTTCTCATAGTTTTCTGTGACAACACTGAGCATTTCTACTTTTTTTATGGGTTCCTTCATTCTATATTTGAGGATCAGGAAATTTACCAGTTCAGTCACCTTTTGGTTTTGGAGTTTTCTCCATGAAGAACCATCTGTCAACTTCAAGTTGTTTAAAGTCTCTTCTTCTTGGCTGCTATGTTCTTCATCTAAGTTGCTACATGAAGTGGGGCTGTAAAAGCTCTGGGGACTCTGGACAATAGTTGGCATCCAGGCAACAGAGCCTACAACCTCATCTAGATTGCCCCACATCAGAGGACTGGATGAGAAAGTGTAAGGTGGGGAAGGACAGAAGGAGGGTAAGGTGATTTTTAAAGAGGCAGATAATGTGGTATCACCATCAATGGCCTCCCATTCCCCTTCCTCCACCTCCTCTTCTTCCTCCTCTTCTGCTTCTTCCTCCTCCGCTTCCACTTCTTTCTCCTCCTCCTCTGCTTCTTCCTCCTCCTCTTCTGCTTCTTCCCCCTCCTCTTCCATTTTTTCCCTCTTCTCTTCAATTTTATCCTCTTCATCCTCCTCTTCTTCCTCAGCTAATCCATGTATTTCAAAAGCATCCTGACAAACTTCCAAAAGGCTGAAGTGTGGATAGTATGCCATAATGAATCTAACTGGAGATGGCAGGCTGAACTATAAGCTGGAATGTGGGTGAATGGATCCCACTGACCTGAGGGAGTAAAAAGTAGTGTGAGTGGCCTCAGCTCAAAATTTCATTCCTGATAGTTCTAACAAAATCATACTCACAAGACTTCTTGGTAGGTGAGGTCCCAGAGTCCAGCAAGCCTGCTGCTTTCCTTGTTGCTTGTCCTACTGGAACCTGAAGAGGGATATGAGAAAGAGCCTGAGACTCTAGGGCCCACAATAAGGTATTTGTCTAGGTACTTTGGGAACCCTCAGTTCTGGGCTTTGGGTGGCGCACTTTGTGCACACTTAGGGTGGGCTTCTTACCTTGAGTACATGATTTCCTGGTCCTTTTTTATTCTGTGATTTGATGGGATATGACTCACACCAAAGCATTTACCACAATTTCTCATAGCTCTTTAAGAAGAGCTGAGAGGACCTCCTACACTGAAAACTGCAACCACACCCCTAAACTGCTCAAAGCAACTAGGTTGGATGTTACTCTGAAAAAACTAGAATTCCAGGTATATGGTCCCCTTTGAGTTTGCCTTAACTCTGGCAAGTCTTAGATCCTACTCACCTGTTGGAATAAGAAAACACCTAAGGATAACACCTCATACTCCTGAGACAAAGAGGAGGAAGTAAGGGAATCCCATCCCCAAGCACACCTGAAAAGAGACTCCCTGAGATGATAGTTAAGAACTGACCAAACTCTGCTTCCATCTCCTAAGTGAGAGATGTACTCATTTCTCAGTCTCAACCTGTTGGGGCCTGGGGCAATATCATCTGCTGACCTCAGTTTGTTCCTCTGATCAGTGCTACGAGATCACCAACAGAGAGAAGATGATGTGCCACATATAACCACATCCCTCAGGGCATCCAACAAGTTGACAGCATGGGAAAAAAAGTACCAAATGTACATTCAGTCCTAGAAAAAGAGGTTGTATCTTCATTCTCAGAATCCTTAACTCCAGGATTTGACTCCTCATTCTGGTGACCAGATGTACCTCCTCATCATACTATTACCTCTTCAGGCCAAGTTCCTCAATTCCCTGAGCATGCAAGACAACACTGAAATCTTACTCTGCTAATATCACAAACTTACTCAAAGGCTTCCTTCACCTCCTGAACTATCCATACAAAATGGCAACAAATCTACTGACAACTGTCCAGGGTCTGTTAGGCTGAGAGAAACTGTCTAACTTGCAAAAGAGTTGCGTATATCTTTGAGCAAAACCTGCCTCAGTGTCCTTTGACCCTCAGTGTATCTAGTTAACCAAAACCTCACCATCCTCAAACACTACAGTCCCTTGGCTACTTAGAGAGCATATGGCAAAAGTCAGAGTCCATTACATTAGAACACCTCAAGCTCTAGCCTCCGTGGGCTGGAAAGAAATAAGTCGAGAGTTGGACTCCTGAACTCCATAAGATTTCCTTCTTCAGAGGAAGAAGGAAGGAAGGAGAAAGGGGAGTAAGGTAGAGAGGATGAAACTTTTATCCTTACTAGGGATGCTTAACTTGATGCCAAGCAGAGTCAAGGACTTGCCTCTCTGTGGACTATCCCTCACAAAATGTCACCTCCTCAGATCAAAGCCCTTCTCTGTGACACATGATCCAGAAAAAAAAAAAAAAGCCATATCTGACAGATCTTGCCTGCAGTTTCCTAAGGTTTACACCTTGTTGGGGGGGGGGGGGGGGGTCACCTCACTCTGAGATTAATATTATCACCATGTTCATTGTCTTCCTATGTTGGTAGCAAGAGAGAGTTCCTGCTCACCTCCTCCACCACCGACATCCCCCATCACCCTTCAGTGTAACCAAATTGGACCTGATATTATCTGGGAACTCCTTTGCAAAGGTGCCTTGGGCATCTTTGACAAATCTTTATCTCTCTGAGAACCTAGTCAAAAGTATAAAGCACAGCCTTATCTTGCACCACTGTGCAGGGTCTCTGAGGGTTGACAGCTGAGGATAGATCCTACTATTTTACTGGGAGGAGGAGTTGCACCCTTGTTCTCCCTCAGGCTATTTATATTGCTCCTTGAGATCTTCACTTCAACAAGGAGACAAACTTCCTCATTTCTCTGCAGAAGTGACAAAGCATATCCAGCACTGTTGCCCATTTCTTTAATGCATGTTGGGGTTTTTTTAGAGTCTGCCTGTAAGAGTAAGAGCTGTAAGTTACCCTCCAGAGATCTATATTTACTCCTGACAAGCCTCAGACAAACTCTATTCTGTTCATGTGAGGTGTCTTCCTCAGTTTAAGGATCCTATCTCTTTCATACCAGAAAAAAAAAAAAATGAGGACTCTGTTGCCTGAGCCTGGGACTTCTCAGGACCAGCATTCCAGGCTAGTTTTTGTGAGGCTCGGCTCCCAACTATCTGTTATCGGTTGTCTCCTCATTTCTGTCTCAAAGTACTCTCCATCTTGAAGCCTAACCAGCCTGTTCAAGTAAGCCTAGCCTCTTCCAGAAAAACCAGATTCCTTCTAAGATCAAAGTTTAAATACCATACCACCAAAGCCAGACTAGGCTCCTCCAGGTTAACAGCAAAGGTAGAGGATAGCTGAGGCTCTCCATATCTATGATCTAAAGCCCTCTTAACCCCTCCTCCAAGGTTCTCATTTTAATGCCTGGCAGGGCCAGTCCACCTGCCTCTGATGAAGTGAGGTAAGGTTCCTGAGGCTCATCCATATCCAGTAACTCTCTACCTTGTAATTCTCAGAACAGCTAGGACACGTTAACACATGTAAAAAGAAATCTATCCCTCCTCCCACCAGGGTGCATCCTGATAATGCAAGACCTGGCATTAAACTCTCCCTTTACTAATGCCAGTAGAGCCCCTTCAGTAAAGTCTCCCTTCTCTCAAACTTCCATGATGAAACCTAGAAAATGGCATAACCCACAGGGCTTGCCCCTCACTAAAGTATCCCATGGACAAGGCATGAAGAGATGATACTGTTACCCCAGTATCTATACTAGAGAGGAAGGCTGTCAGTCCTCCCTCAGCACTTTTCTCATCAAGTCCTGGACTTCTTGACTTATCTGAGACTAGCCAACTCAAAATGCCTCACCTCCCTTAGACTCTTGATATAGAATTTGGGAATGATTATAAGCCATGATCCTAACAACAGGTGGGGCTAAGCTTCTTATACTGCCCTAACAGGGCCTGGAAGTTCCTGTGGCCATCTGTCCATGATATCTCTGGGCAGCAGCTTTTAAGTAAGACTGGGACTCCTCTGATAACCTGTGTGCAGCCTCCTTCCAAAAGTCTGGCCTGCCTTGGGACTCTCAGACATGGAACTTGGGAATGATTATGATAGGACTCTGCATGGAACCTCCGAGACAAACAGGATGAGGCATCATACATTTCTCAGGGTTGGGTGGAGGGAGAAAGACAACGACTCCCAACCATTCCTGGGAGTTCTCCTCATCCCTTATCCCGTGACATTTCTCAAGGCCAGTACCCTCCCTAGCCGACCTAAATCCAGTCTCTTTCCAAACAATCTTACCTCCTTTGAACAGCCCAACCCCCATGGAAATCCGAAAACAAACAGTACACACCCAACCAGGCTGGAGTCTCCCAACAACTGTCTGTACAAATAGGATTAAGAACCCCTATTTCTCTCAAGGAGGGCAAGTATCCCATTCTTCTTCAGAGTCTTCTAGCGCAAGGTTGGGGACCCTCTCCTTTCTGACAGGAGCCCAAAGCCCTCCTTAAAAAACGTCTCTCTGGAATGCCGGACACAGAGAGTTGGTGGCGGAAAGAATCAAAGTGAAGAACTTCTAAGCAGCAGAAAACCTCCTGGGGGAAAAACTTCTGGGACAGGCAATACAACATCCCCAACATGTGTAGGGGGTAAAGAGTTCCAAGTCCACCCCTAGGGGCCAACCTTTAATATGCCTAAGACTAGAACTCCTTCCCTGCTGACCAGAGTCCAGCCCTCACACCAAAACCTTACCTCTCTCCAGACAAAGAACAAACCGGTCAGGAGACTTGGGCGGTATTCCTTTGAAATGAAAGGCTGCTATCAGAATACCTACGGTGAGCCAGCCTTCTAGTCCAATTTCCTGTCCTCTCTTAAGTGATTGGTCAGGCTGAGATCCCTCCCTCTGTTGCTGTGAAAAGCCAGGCCTCAGATTCTCCAGAGAGCGTTCTGGAAACAGTACTTTTGGGCACCAGAGAGAAGGATCTGGGCACCTGTGGCATTAGGAAAGGGTAATCTGGCAGCAAGGGCCAGGTAGGACTACTATTACATCTGATAATCTAGCAAATTAGGACACTATTGCCTGTTACCCTAGCAAACTTAAGCACCTGTGTTAGATGAAATGAGTGCCTTATTCATTCAGGCTTCCTACATGGGCATTACAGTACGTAAAACACACACTAGTATGATTTCAGTGAGGGGATGGCTTGAGAAGCTGCCATGGGTAGAGCAGAGAAACCTCAGTTCTGGCTTGGAGTCCTGATTTTGCTTTTTCTCTCTCTAAACCTGAGTCCACTGGAATTTAAGCAATTTATCCAATTCTGGAAAGCCAGCCAGGGGCAAGTGGGAAACAGTAAACTTTTAAGCCCCAGGGCTTGCCGGAGTTTACAATTTAAATAGGGTGGGGGTAAGGACGGTGTCCAGCCAGAGAAAGTAGGAATGCCTATAGTCTTCCCTAGATTATTTATATTTAATCCTGACAAGGCACAAATCCCATTATTTTTGCTGACTGCCTGATCTGTCCTTCATGCCAAGGTCCTCATTTCACTGAAAATTTCCAGATAGAAAAACAAGTGTAGGTACTTCCGGCTGATTTTCTTTCCTAGACCTCATCTGGCCAACATGCCCTGGGGCATCTCAGAGCTCAAACCTGAAAAGAGCAGGCAGACTTGATGTCTGGTAAGATCTCCTCAGCTATACAATTTAACGACTACCAAAGCTAGTACTCCTTCTGAAGTAGGTTTGTTTTCTCCAAACCACAAACTTTGCTTCCTTGGAAAGTCCTTCTCTACAAACTAGAAAGGAAGAGGCCTTTGGATCTCGATTCCTCCGAAGTCTCTCAGGATGGTACATCAGCAACAGAGTGGCATTCTATGGGGTGTCTTCTGCTCAGAGTGAACTGGTTGACCTCTTATTCCTCACTCTTGAAGGTCCTCATCATGCATCCCTCCCTGCCATCTCTGAACATTTTTTTAACCAAAACCCTTACA